ATAATTATTTTTTTAATATTTTTGTATTTTAAAAAAGTAAATCAGAGCTAAATAAATACAAAAACACAGATAAATTTACCTGTGTTAGCTTACAATCTAAGAGATAGTATCTCAAGAAGGTTATGCTATTTGTAACAATATGTTCTATATCTGATATATATATATATATATATATTTTTTATTTAGATAATTTTATCTATTATTTTATTAAGAAAAAGCTAATATAAACTACAAGATAATTATTATAAAATTTATACTAAACTATTTTTCTTTATTTAAAGTTTACTTGACTGCCTTTAGATATCTAATTAAACTATATATTATATAATATATAAATATTTTAAAAATTAATTTATATTATTTGTCATATTAGATACAAAATATAATATAAATATAATTTATTACAGAGGTATCTATAGCTAGAGATCTAATCTGATGAATAGTATATTTGAATATTTATTGAATATTTGAATACTCAAATAGGTAATTTTTTCATCAAATTTAATATTTAAATATTTAATTTATTTATCAAATAATTTATTAAATATTCAGTAAATAAATATATATTATAATTAGAAATTATTTAGTCAATCAAAATTAGATAGTATAATTTAATATATTTGCTTTATTTATATTAAATTAGTTTATAAGTATAAAGAATATTAGATCTGGTGATCTAGTATAGTGAATAGATTATCAGACCACTATGCAATAGATTTAAGGTTCAAATCTTACTGTTGACAATTTGAATAATTTCTCAAATCTTGTATTCAACTTACAATAAACTCTATTCGTTTCTGGAGGTTATAATTCTGTAAATCATATTGCACTAATGTTAATTAGATATTAGAAATATAATAGAATATTTGAATTACATTATATGAATAAATTAAGAAAAGATCTACAAGCAGAAGATCTGTATGCTAGAAATCTTGAGTTAGATGAAGTAGTATAGATTTCAATAGTCACACTAATTAATACTTGATCTAACAAAGAAGTTTAGGTATAAAGAATGCAGATTGAATAGATGTGAATAAGTCCATTACATGAGGTCATATAGCAATACCAACATAGTTTAGCAGCTAATTAGATTAAGAGAATCTACCTTATGAAACATTTAGAAAAACTAGAGACCTAACCTAGTAGAGAGCTATAGCAAAAACTGAGTTCATATGAATATTGAATAAGAGTATATGCAAGTTAGATTGGGATATAGTATAGTATAGTTGAGTATCATAGTATCTATCTATTAGAGAGTATTAAAGTGAGACTTATTTGAGTAAGATCTAGACTCATAATAGTAAAGTTTGCAAATAATATCAGCTTGAATGCTTCGCAAAGTAGAGTAGTACAGAGTTATAGATTAACTTAAAAGTATAATAAATTTGAAAGTGATATTATACTAGAAAGTTTAAATAGATAATCTTCTAATAGATTTCAAATATAGTAGCTAGTATAGAACCTTCGAGCAAACTACTTAAATTAGATAACCTAAAATTGTATGTATAGCTAGTTGTACTCTTACAATATATATCATATTTCTAATATAAAGACTAATAAAAGTTTGGCTGATAGTATTTGTACAAAGTAAAAAAAAAAAAAAAAAAAAAGTATAAAAAATATTTAATACTATAAATATTTACTAATATTTAACTTATTTTTACTCTATATTAATTATTAACTGTAAATTATAGATATAGAATTTTTAAAAATTAATTAAAATATAAACTTAAAGATTTTTTAAAGTTTTTTTTTTTTAATAATTAGTATTAATTATCAAATATTAGAGATATTTGCAAATAAATGTATTTTGCATTTATAATTTTAACTACCTAGTCTTGAATAAGATTGTATATTTAGATTATAATTCTTACAAGATATTTTTTATTTTCTTTTGTTTTTGTTTTTGTTTTATCTATTTCTTTTTAGCTAGTTAGATTTTTAACTTGTTAACAAGTTTTTCTAATTTTGCTTTGTTGTATATAATTTTGCCTTTACTATATGTAACAATTTTATTATACTTTTATCAATATCTGACTTTTTAAATAGTCAGACAAAATTATCTAGACTTCTCTTTTTCTTTATGTTAAAGAAGTTTTTAATATAACAGATCATGTTTGAACATATATGAAAATAGAGTATTAAGTAATACTTTCTATTAGGAAATTAGATATATAAGAAGAAAACTATAGGTTCTTGTTTAGTTAAATTCAATATAGACTAACTATTTGTAATTTTTTTGTCTAATAAATGCATAAAATATAACTATAAAAGAAAAAAAATAATTAGTATTAAAATAAGTTATATTATTTAAAAAATTAAAATTGTTTTAATAATTAATATTAAAATAAGTTATATTTTTATATATATTTAAAAAAAGATATTCTATAGAATAGGTAGACAATATAAAAAATAAATTTCATTAATAATTAGTACTTATTTTTTATTTTTATTTTTTTTTTAAGCAAAGCCAAGATAAGGCCATGTTTCTATCTTTATTAATAATTTAATTAATAATTAGTAATTATTAATTTTTAATATATTCAACAGAGTTTAGTAAAATTTACTCACTTATTCTATAAAACATCCTTAAAAATTAAAATTGCTTAAACTTTTCTAATTTTATATATATTAGCTATTAGTCAGCTACTTAATCATAGTATTAATAAAATACAAAATTATTTATTTTATATATAATATTCAATGAATATTAGTGAATATTCGAATATTTATTTAAAACTTTTTAATGAATATTCGAATATTGAAAATATTGAACAAATGAATATTCGAAAACAAATTTTTTGACCGGATAAGACCTCTACCCGTGGCAGTTAAGTCCTCAACTCCATTTCGGACAAAAAACTTATAGGAAAGTAGACAGGCTTTTAATATGATCAGCTATTTGTTTATCGTTATTACAGTACGTATACGTATTAAAATGCACTTTTTACAAAACAACACGAAAATCCGAAGTAGTATACAATAACTGATCTCTAATTCCACATCTGACGAGTTATGAATATGACCGAATCTCCTGAAATTATATATATATATTGCTCATTAAATGAAAATTAAAAGTCCATTTCGATAACATAATCATAATCCAACTTGATATTGTTCATTGGGATATCCGCCCGTTGCGTATTCTAAAAACCATTTTTTCATTCTTGGCTGCGTCTATTGTCTTTAGAATCCAAGATTATTTTTACAAGGGAATTGTAGCCTTCAGCCAATTTCAAATAACACTTGAATGCCTTAAATACCAATGCCTTCTTTTCATCGTTGGTTATTGCTTTACTTTCTTCATAGTATAACTCAAGATTATTTTACAAATCTTCAGCAAATTTAAATATAGTAGAAAATCCAAGATAGCACCGTCCATAGGAATTGGTACCTTAACACCATAGATGCCTTCTTTTTATATTTGGCTGTACTTATGGTTTCATTATAACAGAATCCATGGTTATATTTCATCCGAATTGCAGCTTTCAGCAGATTCAAAGTACCACTTAAATGCCTTAGCAGTGCATACTCCAAGATTATATTCTCCATCCAGAATTTCAATATCATTTTAATGCCTTTTTTTCATCTTTGGTTATGATTATGTCTTCGTCATAGCAGAATAAAGATAATTGCCAAAGCTCTGCCTTCAGTAGATTTTCCTTGGTCGTGGCTATGCCATTTCTATAGCAGAATCCAGGATTTATTGTCCATCCAAAATTGCCCGTCAGCGGATTTTCAAATACCACTTAAATGTCTTTTGGTAATATCCATCTTATACACGATAAGGCCACTTTTAAAACCAAACCAAACCAAAAGAAAAACTTTCCAAAAAAAAAAAACTTTCGACTCAAGAAATAAAAAGGTTAGAAAAAACTTACGCGTAATCAGGACGATCAGAATTAAAAGGTTTATTAAGCGAATAGATGAAACACGAACATATGCTCTCTTAAATTAAACGGTAAGTACAGCTATTGATATATTTTCCTCCGAATATGTGTCAGCTTGCGATTATTCATTTGAATATAAATTTGTCAACAAGTTTAAAAATAATTTATTATTTTCGAATTCAATGACTCATTACTGCATTATATTCGAATTTAAAGATATATTATTATAATACAAAAGTTATTAAACTTTTTTATTTAAGTCATCATAGCTTTAATAATATCTTGAACCATACGTAGGTATTTTAGAATTTATAATACAAAATTTAATTCTTTATATATTGCAATTTTAGCAATTGTCATAATTCAAATATTTTTGCACTGAAAAATATTTTGTTTATTGAAATTAATTGACATCTCTAGTGGAGAACATACTATATAGTTACCGTCTAACTATTAAACTTATATTCTATCAATTTTTTTTTTTTTTGTTTTTTTTTTTTAATGTCTATGAACTTAATAACGAAACTTATTGATATCATTTTTCTGTTAATTATCTCAAAAATGTAAAAAAAACAAATTAGAAGATTGAATCAACTTTATACTTATCACATAAACCATACAATAAAGCAAAATACATACATTAAGAGTTAAATGAATTGTAGAACCTAATGTGTTAATGATACAGTGTTACCAGTGTTATTGTTATAATTGTGATAACTATACTTCATCTTCAGTTGAAGAAAGTTCGCCTCGAAATATAACAACGTTTTTTTCGGTTTCGTGAATTTTTACTTCATATAATTCATACTTACCCTTTGGCAAATGCTTTTGTATATTATTCCATATGAAAACCGCCAACATTTCAGTCGTACTAATATGATGTTAAAAAAAGGTATAAAAAAAAATGAATGAATAATAAATTAAATATGATTAATATTCAAAAATTATCTTCATTCAGCTCTGATTTATTCCTTCTATATCATCAATTTCAGATAGATAACGCAAGATAATAATAACAGCATCATAGAACGTATAGGTCAACTGTATAGGTTCATCAAAGAGCTTTGTACCTTGGGCAGTTGGCAAAATAAGGAACATCGAGATCCTGTAAATATAAGAAAATAAGTAAGAAATCAAAGCCATCGATTTAGTTTAATTGATGAGACCTATTAGAAGTACAAACCAAATTTTTATGGTCCAATTCATCCAATATAGCGACTCTCATACATTTTTTTAGATCAATTAGATTCATCACCATACCCGTATGAGGATCGACCTTTAAACACATACAGGATAAGTTTACGTAAAAGAAATTAACAAAATAGGCTTTCACAATAGTAAGTTTCATGCCTCGCCTCGTATTATGATTTCAACTATACATGTAAAATAAATATGAGTTTCGAATAATAAAACATAGACATAAGAAATTTGAAGGCATACCTGTATAGTTGTGTCCATGTCCATTTTGATTACTGCATTTTCCATATAGGTTTTTGTTCTCTTCTTCTGTTAAATACAGTGAATGTAATCGATGTGCAGCAGAAAAAGTTTCTTTTCTACTCAAATACGCTATAGGGCTCATTAAGATATGAAGCGGTCTAATAAAATCAAATTATAGTTAGGATACCTTTTTCGTTATGGTATGATATGAAATTAATATTTTGTAGTTTATAATGTAATGTGACGATACGTCATAAAAATGTAATGTGGCAAGTAGACACTATACCGTATTATACCATTGGTTTATTGCATTGCATAATTCGCATATTTTAAAGAATTCGCATGAGTCGGCCAGGGCGGCCCCCCCAAAGTGCCAGTGACGTAATCATTTCCACCAATCAAATAAACACAATATATATTAACAATAAGTAATACTTATTGTTAATATATATTGTGTTATCTGATT